ACACCTTGTTATCTCAGATTCTCCATCATCTGCAGTTCCTACTATCTCTGGTTTTAATTATGGTATGGTTCTGAAAACCATGTCTTCGATAAAGTAACCATTAACTTCCTACACTTTGTAAAAGTTTTATGTGTTACGTCACATTAGCTATATTTGAATTTGCAGATGCACCTAGGAATTTCCTTACATGCCTGTATTGTCTCTCTCCTGGGCTCAAGTTTACCTTTCAAATGGAGTAGTCAAGCAAGCTCCCTCTCCTCCTGTTCGCTGATAAATCTGTCAATGGATTTTTTAACCACTACTCACTACAAGCCTACGTTCAGTGATTGTTATAGGCAATGGGTTCCTTCACTCACTTCCACTGCAGGATCAGATTTATTGGTAATCGTATGAAAATGATCACAGCCTTCTGCTCACTGTGTAAGCTGATGCCAAAATAGGGCCCCTCAAATCATTAGGGACATGAATTAATGGAAAGGCTCAAGATTGCCACATCTGATCCTGGAAGGAGAAGCTGTCTTAAAATTTGGAGCAACAGATAACAGCTTCTTTGCAGTAAACACATGAGCCATATTCTCCACAAATAAGATGCTGCCATTAGGCAAAAAAAGACCCTGCAAGCCTCACAGCTGCTCTGACCGTGCTCTGGTCTCTTGCAGCATGATATGCTGTGGGTAGCAGACTGCAGTACAACTGAATTGCTCAGCTTGAGCCCAGCCTCTGACTCTCATGTATATATGTAGACACCAGGTGCTGTAATAAATGTTCATTGAAAACTTCAGTAATAAGTAACCTATGTCTTGCCATTGTGTTACTGGAGCTAACATAAATATCACAGCATTGCAGATCTACGGTAAATCACATCACATCATAGCTTGGGTGGATTGGGTAATCTGGGCCTGTATTCTCTAGAGTTTTGGAGAAAGAGAGGTGATCTCAGTGAAATTGGTAACAGTGGAAACACAGGGTAGATATTTCCCCTGGTTGGGAATATGTCAACACATTTTAGCTTTTCTCACTGAGGAAAGCATAATGGAAACAGTCAATTTCAGTTGCATCCCCATGGCAATGTTCCTACTGCATCTCCGTGACAACCACATCACCTCTTCGCATGCTGTTTGAATTTTTTTTTCTTTCTAAAGACTGTTTTTTTTTCCCCATTTCAGACTTGATGAGTGAAAGATGAAAAGCTTTGATTTTGTGTCTCTTTTTTTTAACATTACACAATGTCATGCGTTTTCCTGTTTCCTACGGGATTACAACTAAAATTTAAAGTGCCTGAGTTGTGCTTGGGAATGAGAGTGGTGAAGTGCACCATCAGCTGACAGTATGATAGGTATGGACAGGCTATGATAGAGTCGTTTAGTAGAACAGAACCTGAATACTGCTGAAAAAAAAATTTGTCAAGGCTTTTTATCTCGCACTCATCAGAAAATCTTGCAAGAATACTAATTTCTGTGGAAAATTGCATGTGGTAATATATAGTGCCCTGCTCTTTGCAGCATAAAAAGAAACATGTACAAACTCTGTGCCTGTTCCAACTCAACAAAACAGGCACCAACCACAATCTGGTTCATTTCTAAAGACAATGTCTTAACTAATCAAAGTTGATATGCCTGGTTTAAAATTTAATTCTAAAAGGTGATAATATTGTCACTAAATACCATTTCCATTAACATGACTCATGTTGAGAGTGCAAAAGTGGAACAAGAGTTTTCTTCAAACTTAAATTTCACTTGGAGATATTTCATGGGCATTTGTTTCAGTTTATTGACGTTACATCATCGTTATTTACGGAACTAGCTTAATTAGCTTAACTTGTGGAACCAACTTTTCGTCAAACAGCTAAATACGCTGGATGAATACATGGATGATTATTGGGAGGATGGGTATATAGGGGAGAGAGATTAAGCCTACATACTATATTGTGGCAGAAACAATTATGTGTTCTTACATTCATGCTTTGGTGTTAGTTCCTACTGGTGCCCAGTGTTGTCCCATCTCTGTGGTACATTGCTGAACTTGCTCATTTTCTGTGTAACATAAAGGACCTTGTCTGTGATCACTCTCAACAGGCCACAAAGTTCAGCAAAGGTGCTGAGTTCAGACTCCACTGCATAAAAGCAGAGTGTTACACATGATCTTCACCACATGAAACTGAGCCACATCCAGCAAAATTCATGTGCACTGCTCACTTTAATTGCAAGCCAATTTCAAGACAAAATAACACTTAGACCAATGACTATTATTGGCTTGCAAAGTGGGGATGAACAACAGGGCAGCCTCTCATCCAAGTCGCAAAAGTAAACCACTCTCAACTCATTGCCTCTCGTTGGATAACACATGTGCTGACTAAAACCTGAAGAGCTATCTAACCTTAGCCTTGTCCCAGTGACTACTGCTTTTTCCCTAATGATTAAGAAGACAAATAGTGTGTAGGTACTTGAAAATGGGATCAACTGAAAATGTGAAACATACAATCAGATGGAAAACCAAGCATTTATTCAGCAACCAAAAAGATGAAATACTGCAACATTAACAAAGTCTAAAAGCACTTTGCACTAAACAGCAGAGGCATGCCACATAACCAAAAGAATGTTAAACAATTAAACAAAATCCAAACCCTTGCTCCTAACCTCCAAGCGAGATTATGATAGCTTCTCTCTGACTTCCCCATCTCAGTCCTACATTGTTCTGTCACTCTGTCCAATACATCACTCCAAATCCATGTCTTGATCTCATCCTTCATCCCCAGACAGCAGTAGATCCAGATTTCAACACCCAGAATATCCCACCTTTGTTGTCTCTAGTTGCGAAAGGCAAAGCTTGCCACAATGATGTGGGACCCTGTATCTAGGCTATCCTGTAAGACCTGGCCAGAGCAATCAAAGCATCTTAAGGAGTTCTATGGTCTTCCACTCCGACTCAAGTGAAAGTATGAGTCGTATTGTATCTTCATTCTGCAGTTAGTCTGAAGGTTTCATAAATGTGTTGTGAGGCCTCCCTGTATGCACTGAGGACTTTGAAAGGGGAATCTGTGAGTTCTCCCCCACTGTATGGCTTCCTCACAGCAGTTTCCAGGATATTGAGCATTGAACTCCAAAATCTAGCATGAATGGTTATGTATAATTTGAACATTGATGGATGAAAGCCTTTTTTTGTTGATGAACTCTGCAGTGAGTGACAGCATGCTCTCAAAACAATGTTACTGCAGTTTATGGAGCCGTGCATTTGGGGAAGTCAGCACTGGGGGATAATCCCACTGTTTGAGCTGCTTGATGCTCCTCTTTATGGCAGGGAGAGAAAATGAACCGGAGAAGATGTCATCAGTGACATTCCAGATGCAGTTATGGATCGAGGATTGGGAATTGCTTCCCAAGTACCCATTTGCTTCTTGAAAAGAGCTGCTGAAATAAAGTAGTCAGGGCAGCTGTAACTTGAAGGCCCTCTGGTATGGGCGAGACGCTCATTCATTTTGTCCTGCTTCAGCAGATGACACTGTTCGTTCATGTAAAAAAGGATTGCTAAGCCTGTAGATGTGGAGTCTGCTCATTCTCCTCTGTCTTCTTGGAATTTTTTTTTACTTGCTGCTTGTCCCTTTGAAGGCAGTGCAGAAGCTGCTGGTGACTGCTGTTTTGCTGAGTTTGCTGACAGTATTGTAGTTGCTCTAACCTTTGGCATTGGCTTCACATCTGAGGCAAAGCCACAAGGACTCCAGCCGCAGCAACATCCATGTGAGATGTGTCAGTAGAAATCTCTGTGGAATATCAGAAACATAACACCGTTTCGTTAACAGTGTTCCTGTCAACACAGAGTTGATTCCATTTTCCAAGCAGGGGGCAGTAAAACTCTGCAACCAGTAATTTTCCATCTATTAATGCTATTGGTTGATGGTATATTTTTGTTTTGGAGTGTCATTTGGGAACTTGGAATGCATCTCCAAATATAGCTAGAATAACATCAACATGGATAATTTTGAACAACACTTATTAAAGCAAAATAAGTTATAAAATAAGTATACTGTTATTGCATGGCACACTTGTATCTTACTGCAGATTCTCACCAACAGTTAGAATCAATACTTGGCAAAACCTTGTTGAAAGATGTGACAGTATTCTGATAAGTTCACAAATGATTCTTCTTCCAGCCAGAGTTTACACCTACTGCTTAGAGAAATCTCGTCTTGTCTCTCATCCACCTAACCAGTGCAATTTTCATATTTTCTACCTGATGATTGATGGTCTGTCAACTGAGGAGAAGTGTTCTCTGTACCTCAGCAATCCTTCTGTCCACAGGTAGGTGCTAGAATCTTCCTGAATAGTCTTAGATCCTATTCCATATTAAATAACAGATCCTAGAGTCCTGCTTATGATGAGTTAATAGATGCTCAATTTATTCCAGTAATTTTTGTATCTGATAATGCAAAGTGTAACAGATAGAAGTGAATTGTGTACCTATACCCAAAAGAGAAAGAAATTTTTTGATTCACTGCACTCCAGAAGTTTATGCTTCAATCTAAGGCTGTGGTTGATCAGCATTCCAAATCAAGGATTTAGATTAAACTTGAAGCATCTGTTTAATAGAGTGTTGAGTAACACGGTGGCTCAGTGGTTAACACTACTGCTTCACAGCGCCGCGAGGGACCCAGGTTCAAACCCATTCTTGGGCAACTGTCTGTGTGGAGTTTGCATATTCTCTGTGTGGGTTTCCTCAGAGTGCTCCAGGTTCCTCCCACAATCGAAAGATGTGCAGGTTAGATGGATTGGCCATGCTAAATTGCCTATCCTGTCCAGGGATGTGTAGGCTCGGTAAGTTAGCCATGGGAAATGCAAGGTTACAGGGCGGGGGGGAGGGTTAAGTCTGGGTACGATGCTCGTTGAAGGATTGGTATAGACTGAATGGCCTGCTTCCACACTGTAGGGATTCTATGGTACTACATGCAATCTACCTCTCTACAGATCCTTCAGCAAGATTGTGCTCCATTCTACAGACCTGAAGCCTCAAAATCAGCAGGGAAACAGGAAAATATATCAAATTCAGGGTCAAAAATGCCTTTTTGATGTTTCTATTATTGAAGTAAATTTGAACTGTCCAGCTGGGGGAGTAGTTTTCCCTGAAGAATAATATTCTCATGTCCTACATGTAGTGTGAGCAGCAGATGTTCAGAAGCAGTAAAGCATCAGTTGTTCTTATTTAATCAACTGAATTAACTGTCCTGTTCTGCACCAGGTATATGAACCGAAATTCACAAGATGAGGTAACAGCAGCCGAAACAGTTCAAAATAGGGACAAGTTTCTTGCTGTAAAGCAAGCTTTAAGAAACTTAGGTTTCAACAACCTGGTAAGATGCATCAAGTTCTGAACTTTCATTTTACATGCTTCCAGAATTTCGACAACTCAGAATGAATTACAAGTTTTTTGATGTATTAATGTAGGCTATTTGAAAATTATTGTACTTCTTTCAATTTAACTCCCTTTCTTTGTCAATTCAAAATAACGAGGTGCAACTAGTATGTGTAAATACCAGAAATAGAATTGAATCACCAGAAATTATAATTTTATTTACCCATTTCCATTTTAATTCAAACCACTTTCTGCCTTTTCTGCTTGTAAGTAAGTATGGGCACAATCTTCTACAGTTCTGGGACTATTATTGGAACGTAGTGGGGAAATCAGATCTGTTCTATAGGCTTGAAGATAGATGTATATTTCCAGATGTTACATTGATACATGGTTCCAATATTATTGAGATACAATATTGTAACCTACATATCTTTGAGCATATCCAGAATGCTACAGGACTCACTACTGCACTACAGTCAAGTACTGAGCAAGAATGTATCTATTCACAGCCCATGTTGATATCTGTGAAATGCATTTTAAAAAGGGCAAGACAGTGTATGGCCATTGGTGAAAAAAAAAATCTGGCTTTCTTGACTTTGGGTGATTTATTGGGGAGTGACAGACACACACTGTCTCTCCTTCCAGGGATCCGAATGGTTCTCCCTGCATTATTTACACCCACAAACTGTTCTGGTTCGCAGGAACCAATCAGGAGGTTGTTGTTGACCAATGAGCTTTGGCATCCATGACTGGACACAAATGCCCAAACCAATCAAAACTACCTGTCGTTATTCAAATCTTACTTTGTACACGTACCCTGGAGCCATCCTTTTGAACCTTCCCCACATTACTTGCAAAAAAAAATAATGTAAATATGACTTAAAATAGGTTCAATAACTTGCTTTTTAAAAATACTGCAGTTCCTTCTCCAGGCCTTTCTTGTGAAATAGTCCCTTTCCTAATTCAGTCCACAATCATAAAACAAAATAAAATGATGTGGGTCTTTACAATGCAGATGGCACAAATTTAACTGCCTCATGCAATGCAATGAATGAGCACTGGACGTACCTGGCACTTGTCATTCTTGCCAAGTATTCATGCCGCATAGGTGGCAGTCAATGACCATCTCCAACAGGAGAGAATCTAACCATTAGCCACTAATGTTCAATGGTATTGTCATCAATGGGGAGGCGATAGCCTAGTGGTATTATCACTGGACTGTTAATCCAGAGACCCAGATAATGTTCTGTGGACCTGGATTTGAATCCCGCCATGGCAAATGGTGGAGTTTGAATTCAATAAATATTTGGAATTAAGACTCTAATGATGACCATGAATCCATTGTCAATTGTCGGGGGAAAACCCATCTGGTTCACTAATGTCCTTAAGGGAAGGAAGCTGCTATCCTTACCTGGTCTGGCCTACATTTGACTCCAAACCTGCAGCAATGTGGTTGACTTTGAACTGCCCTCTGGGCAATTAGGGATGGGCAATAAATGCTGCCTAGCCAGCAACTACTACATCCTGTGAATGAATAAAGAAAAATCACAGAATTCCCCATGCTGGAAGGAAACAGCAGCTGCTCTATCACACAGTGAGTCTTAGGGCTCAGCTTCTTACCCTCGGTTAAGCCCCAAATGTACACATTCTCTTCTTGGTAGCTCTGAATGTCAATCTCCTTAGGTGTGAACTCCTAATATTATTTCACAATCCTTTAATCCAAAACTTCATCTCCTTGTTTTAATCACATCAACCCCATGCATGTTCAAGTCTTGTTAATGCATTAGACAACTGCAGTTACGTTGTACCATTGTTTGTGATAATGTTGCTACCAGTCTCTTAAAGACCCAGAGTTTTAGCTGGCTTACTCTTAAAATTTACAATTGACCTCTTCTTACCTCTGTATGATGTTATGAGGTTAGTTATTCACAATTTACAGTTCATGTGTATAGATTTGGAGTTTTACCATCTTTGTAAATTTACAGTTTAGAAAGGTCTTATCCTACATACACAGAAAACTTTGTAATGATGCCTTTCTATGTGGATATTTATTTTCTGTAACTTCCTTTGAAAGTGGTTGCTGCAAGTCAAGGTAACACTTGTTAATCTATTAACAATTTTCTGTTCACAAGTTTTGAAATTAGTCATTAAGATTGAGAAATGCTACCAGTAATAATAAAATTCACTATTAAAACAACTGGTTACTCAGTAAATTATAGCACTATGTTTAAAATATTCCTGATTGACGATACAATGTTTACAACTGATCATTAAATGTCATGTTACAACTTACCAGGAAAATAGGTTCACAGATAATTGAAACAACCCTTTGCATTTTTTTATTCAGGAAGTTGACAACCTGTTTCTGATTCTGTCTGCGATTTTGCTTCTTGGGGATATCCAGTTTTTGGCTGTGACAGATACTGAGATAGCTTATGTGTCAGATGCGCAATTGGTGGAACAAGGTCAGTGTGCTTGAGAACAAACCGTTTGTTGCCTATACTGTCTGTGAAAGTGCCTGGATGAGAGAAATGCTGAAATTCATCATCAGATGGAGCTAGCACATCACTAAACACTGCACCATGACAATGTCTCTGTTTTCTACTGGAGTAGAAACTTCTCGTATTTTCCATCCCAGTTGATTTTGGTCTAACCCAGTAGCAACCTCTGCCAGTTATTGTAATAGTTATTACCTGTACATAAGTAAATTGCATATTTTTATGGGAATAGATTGTATAGTTACGTTGGTACTTGTGGGTAATAATGTAGGACTTACTCCATGAATATCACTGTTCTCACTGAATGGGAACCCTCATGGAAACCAGAACAACTGTGGATGCTGTAAATCAGAAACAAAAGCAGAAATGGCTGGAAGAGCTCAGCAGGTCTGGCAGCTTCTGTAGAGAGAAATCAGAGTTCAAGTTTCGGGTCAAGTGACCCTTCCTCAGCACAGGGTTCCTCAGAACACTCGACCTGAACCGTTAACTCTGGTTTCTCTCCACAGATGCTGCCAGACCTGCTGAGCTTTTCCAGCCATTTCTGCTTTTGCTCCATGGAAACCTGCTGATTTACCTCTAATATTTTGTTTCAAGGCCTTGAGGACACTGTTGGTGCTCGATGTTGTAATTCAATGCGGAGTATAATTTGGAAATTGAGACACACAAGTCCAGCATTTTTGATTCCTGATAGAGATAGCTAGAACTGCCGATGCTGGAGTCAGAGCCAATACAGTGTGAAGCTGGAGGAACACAGCAGGTCAGGCGGCATCAGAGGGGCAGGAGAGTCAATGTTTCAGGCCTGGAACCTTCATTAGGACTCTCGACTCACCTTCATTCCCCTGCGCCCACACATCAATGAATTCCGTTCACAGCTGGATGTTGAACTCTTTTTCCTCCATCTCCGCACCTATTTCTTTAACCACGAGTCTAACCCACCCTCTGCCAGGCCCTTCAACTGCCTCCAACAAGCCTCATCCTCCCGGGCACCACCCCACGGCCTCCTACTCTCCCTCAACCTCTTCATCTCCAACTGCCGTCGCGACATCGATTGCCTCAACCTCTCCACCCCTCTCACCCACTCCAACCTCTTCCCCCACGGAATGCTCTCTGCTCCCTGGTCTCCAACCCTAACCCGCATATGGGGGGAGGTGCCAACTCTCTAACACCTCCTCCTACCGCCCCTTCGATTGTGAACCCGTCCCTGATCACCAGACCAATCATGATGAAGGGTCCAGGCCCGAAATGTTGACTTTCCTGCCCCTCTGACACTGCCTGACCTGCTGTGTTCCCCCAGGTCCGTACTGTGTTGTCTGATCGTACTCCTGCTGATCAAAGCTTTGGATCTGGAATCCTAATTTTCAAACCTAACCATAACCCTTTCATGAAGCTCTCTATGGAAATTATAAGAGAAAAAAATGCTGGCAGCACTTTTGCTTTGTTGTGGTCGAGAAAAGCACTACATCACATCCTCACTATGAGTTAAAAAAAATATAATTTGCTGTTTGTTTTATGAAGTTGGCCAATACTTTTTATGTTGGAGAATGCAGTTAGTAATTGTGTTACAGAAATTTGAATTTTGTATTCTGCGAGTTATGACTGATGGGTTTCTGCCAGATTGTATAATGCTACATGACTTACTCAGCTCTGCACCAGGAGAACTGGATTTTACACTTTTCCATCGACAGGTTCAAAAGTGAAGTGTGGGGGTGTCCATGAAATGCAGAGGGTGCCCTTCTCCACTTGGCCCCAAAGCATTGGGGGTGATGCTAAGCCCTTAATTGGCCTTATCCCACTGCCATTGGAGCGATGAAACAATAGTACAGGCTGTTGGGATGTAATGTACCATGCAAGGTTGGAGGTTTTGAGGCAGAAAAGGTCCAGGCCAAGTAGCCACAAGGCCTAACACACCCCTCCCTCCTACCCTTGCTAACTTGGCACTCAGCAAGATCCTACGCACTTATCCGAATCCTGATCCAATGCTGTACGTCTGCCCACTGGCAGCTCTTTGAGGTGAGGCTTCATGATCCAGAAGAGTGCAAGATGCCCTGGATGGGTTCCCCTCTTGCAGACAGGTTCCCCATCCCTGTCATTTTAGCCCAGGGGAGGGGACTGGGGTTGGATGCTAAACCTGGCAACCGATACAGTTTACCACAGGATATTTGATGAGACATGTCTTTTAACAAACAGAATGCTTCAATGCTTATAGCAAAAAGGCACTGCAAGATTATGAATTCCACAGCCAGATGCAGTTTAAGGATCTTCCTCACCAGCATCAGCAAATTTACTTATCCAGCCACTACCAAACACTAACTGGCTGATACTTTTCCCCTAAGCTAACAACTAAATCCAATTCTTAACATATTCAAGGTAACGAGTGAGAGGTTGGGTCAGAATCATTGAAATTAATTGCAGGAAAGCATTAAAAAAAAGACCTTCATCTCATCACCCTCTTGATTTCGAAGCTGGCTGCACTGAATATAGGGACCAGAGTAGGGTATTTACCCTCAAGCCTGTTCTGCCATTCACTGAGATTGTAGCTGATCTCTGCTGTGATTGCATTTAACTATCTCTAATTCATATCTCTCCACTTTGTAACTTGACAACTAATTCACCCTACACTTCAATCATTCACTTTGCACAGGTCTTCTGAGAGAGAGAATTCCAAATTTCCATCCTAAGGGATTATGGGCACAGCTATAATTGGTTACTCTACTCCAATCTTTCATGGTGCATTACATCCCAACAGGTTGCATTACTGTGTCATAGCTTCAATGGAAAATGCATGAGATTTTGCGTGTAGTTTTTAATTTTGCTTAACTGCCTCCACTATGAAATGACCATAACTGAGCTGGTATATTGCATTTAAAGTATGCTATTTTTCAGTGGCTGGCATTCTTCAAGTGTCACCTGATGACCTCAATTCAGCCTTAACATCTGATGTTCAGTGTTTTAAAGGTAAGTTTCATATTATGCAGGACATTTTAAAAATTATTTTGTAATGTTTTATAAACTTAAATATTAACAGCCTAACTTATTATTTCTTTACTTTCTACTATAGGGGATATGATTTTGAAGAGACACACTGTGGATGTTGCAAACTTTTATCGGGACCTTCTGGCAAAGTCCCTTTATAGTCGTCTTTTTAGCTTCTTGGTGAACAATGTAAATAATTACCTACAGAGTCAGGATGATGGGGAAGGGTAAGTGTCATTGCTCATGTTTGATACTTCCGAGTTCATTCCTCAACCTTTGAAATCAAAATTGCAAGTTATTTTTTCCATCTCAATTAACAAAGAATTTAAGAAAAGAAACTGATCTCTTACAGCTTCATCTGCGGTGAACTTCAGACTATGCTGTCATAATCCCGTCTCCTTATCTCTCAAACACAACTAGATTTAGGGTTCAATAAAACCAGGTGTAGAGCTGGATGAACACAGCAGGCCAAGCAGCATCAGAGGAGCAGGAAAGCTGACGTTTCGGGTTTAGACCCTTCTTCAGAAAATTATTATCTCAATGCTACTATCTCAATAGATTTAGGATTCAGCTAGGTATAGTTAAAATGCTACTTCAGGGATAATGTGGTACTGTGATCATGTCCGCACCTCTGGGCCAGGAGGTCTGAGTTCAAGACTCAACTGCTCCAAAGATGCATAATTACAACTCTGAACAGTTTGGTTAGAAAATATCTACAATCCTACGTCAGTCCTAGAGGTCATCATTGCTAGTATAGTATTAATTTGTCAATAATGTTACTTATCTATAATAAACATTTATGGTTATTTTTCTTGATAATTATCTGTGAATGAGACTGACATGGCCATATTTTGTCCTAATTATTGATGTCCAGGAAACTGGAACCTCTATGTTATGGGAATGAAGTCACACATAGATCAAAGTGAGTAGTGATAGCAGATCTTCTTCCCTGTAGGTCATTAATGAACGATGTCAGTAGTTATAACACTTCAGCAGTATTCAAGAACGTAACTAGTTGCATACATTATATTTGGGTTGGGTTTCTGCATATCCAATTTATCTCAGAGTATTGGATGAATTACTCCAGTTTTAAATCCAAATATTTATTTAGAGAACTTAGAACATTATCAAAGTTTCACACGCATGTGTCTTTGCTTGTTTCTATCAGAATACTGTATGTGTGTATGTGTGTATGTGTGTTTGTGTGTTTGTGGAGTCAAATACAAGGAACTTTCACCCCACCCACAAGTTAAAGCAATCAAGCGATGTAAAAAGAATCAGTCACCAGGCTAGCAAAACAAGCACAGGTTAAAACCAAACCATTAAATGTTATAACAATCAAATTAGAGTGCCATTTAAGCAGTGCTAATTTTTTTGAAATAAATTTGCCATCTGTCATAATGGTTAGGTTATAATAATCTCTAATCTACAGTTTGTGAATTAAAGCACAGAAATCAGATTAAAGCCAGTTATTTTGTTAATTACAATTTAATCAATGTTTGGCCTTATAATTCTTTCTATGTTACCTCCTTGGTTAAATTTATAGAATGTAAATTCTTGAATAAAAACAATAACAACTGTAACTTCTTTTTAAAAATGCTTACCTACAAAAGCAATGGATAAGTTCTTTCAAAGTTTAGTGCAAGTTTTCATAGTTAAGATTAAGACATATACAATTGAAGAGTTTAAATTTGCTTATTTGTTTTCTTCTTTACCAGATATCTTGAGCATGGTGAGGACATTGGGAGGAGGGGTAAAAGAGAAAAATAAGGTTTGGGGGGGAAAGAGGAGGGAAGTCAAGTGTTACCAAGTGTTATCATGTCCTTCCAGTCCCTCACTGTATTTTTCTCTTTTATTTGGATTGTATTAAACTCTCCTTCAGTTGTCACCAGCTGCTGTTTTATGAATGTATGATTTGAACCAATCAGTCTTTGTAACATTTGTATATTCAAAGATGTATGGTTTTAAATGTGACGACAAAATATATTCTAAAGGTATTTTTAATAATCCACTCTGATAGATATGAACAGGCTGAATATTTTGTTATTTTGAGAGTATTTTCAGTCACATTTTGTGTAAACATAACCCTTATTAATTTATACAAATGGTTGAGATGAAATCCTACCATGGATATTGGCACATTAATGGGTAAATGTATTTGAATATCACTCTTGACGTTGTTATAGAACAGGATCTAATTGTGTAAAATTTAGCCCATTTTAAATATCTATTGAAATCAATGGAAAAGAAATTTTGGGTGATGTATGAGATGAATAACCAATGGACTATTCCCAGCTCCATGTAACAGGCTGCAATGAATTTCTCTACCAATATTGTTAACATATAGGACAAAGGATTTCATTTGATTTGGTAACACAGTTGATATTGTATGGCACAAATTACTTGTGCCTCATTATACAATTTAACAAATCCCAGAAGCTTTGATCAGAATTTGATCTTGATTTTTTTGAAATATATTGTGTCTGGGGCAGGCAGCTGCCAATTGAGTCTCTTTAGATAATGAAGGAAAATTTCTTTTAAGCACAAATAAGTATGCCATATAAATCTGAGTCCATGTTTGCAAATTCTTTGTTTGGCTCGATTAAGCTTCATTTCTGTCTGAACTTTAGGACAGTTTAAACTTGTTGATTCATGAAATGCACAAGCTCATTACAGTCAAGTCAAATATCTTTAAGTATTAATTAAAGCTTTTGTTAGCAATATTTCCAATCAGTTCCCTGGTGACATGTCGCAATGCCTTCATCCTGAGCCAGTCTCCTGCTGTCACCATCCATATACTTCCAAGAAAAACCAGAAGCTGGCTGTTGGGAGATGAATACTCCCTCAATACTCATAATGTGACCACCCTGACACTAACATTAGGCTGTAGCCATTAATTCCAGGCATCCACCTCTGTCTCTGCCTCAAGTGCATTCAATAATTGAGCATCCACCGCTCTCTGGGGTAGAAAATGGCAAAGATTTGCAAGCCTCTAAGTGAAGAATTCTCCTTCTTACACTCTTAAATTGATTAGTTCCTTATTACGAAACTGTGCTCCATTGTTTTAGATGCTCCAGCAAAAGACAAAACCTCTCAGCATCTAGCCTGTCAAGGCCATCTAAATTATGCAGGCCTCCATGATATCACCTGTCATTCTCCTAAGTTCTAGAGAGGAGAGTTCCAATCTATTCAACTTTTTACAGGATCATAATTTTGTATAGAACAGTAGCAGGAGTAGGCCATTTCACCTCTGAAGCCTAATTGACCATTTGATAAAATTATGGCTGATCTGATTGTGGTCTTAATTCCCTTGTCAATCCAAAAATCTGTATGATTCAACCTTGAATATGTTCTGCTTTCATGGGTTTTTGGGGAAGTGAATTCCACAATCCAGTAACCCTTTAGGAGAAGAAATTCCTCTTCTATCTTAAATGGGAGATCTCTTATTGTCAAACTGTTGCCTTTAATTCTTGATCCCTCCATAAGGGGAAATCATCCACCCTGTCAAGTCCCAAAGCAATCTCTCATGTTTCAATAAGATAACCTTTCATTTCTTCCTATCAATTTAAGCTTAACCTGTTCAAACCTTCCACTTCATCCTCAAAATCGGCCAAGGGTACCTTCTCCAAAAAACTTTTGAAGAATTACATAAATCGTTAACTAAGGAGACCAAAACTATAAATAGTATTTCTCGCTTAAGGGCCTATACATCTGTAGCAACCCTTTCATACTTATACACTTCATTCACCTTGCCATAAAGAACAATATTCTATTTGTCACTCCAACCTCTTACTGTACCTATGTGTTCATTTTCTGTGAACAAAGTTCATATCAGACTCAAAGTGTTAAATCTGTTTCCCTCTCCACAGGCATTTGCAGACCTGATAGTTTTCTCCAGCACTTAATGTCTTTTGTCTTTTTTTTGCCCAGTCTGATTGAATAAATATTATTTTATAAAATTGTCATCCAGTTCAGCCATTTTCCTTATGACAGACGTTAGGCTATCTGACCTATAGTTTTGTATCTCCTTCCTTTCATGAATGAAGATGCTGTATTTACAGTTTTCCAAAATTATTGTAGGACAGCACTGTCATCTTGGGAATCAGTCTATGACCCTGCGCTGTACTACCTCCAATACAATATTTCCTTCCTCAGATAAGGTGGTCAAAATTGTACATTCTATTCCAAGTGTACTTGCATCAAAACTGTGTAGAACTGTAACAAGACTCAGAGTCATAGCCTCAACCACTTTCTCTGGCAGCCCATTCCATATATGCACCACTCTCTGAATGAAAAAATTGCCCCACAGGTCCTTCTTAAATCTTTCCCCTCTTACCTTAAACTTATGCCATTTAGTTTTCAATTCCCCATCCCTGGGAAAAATACTATATGCATTCCTTACTCTTGTACGTCAGTCCCCTTGCAATAAAGCCCTACTTGATGTTAATCTTCCCAATTGCTTTCTGTACCTGCATGTTGGAGTGGTGAGGTTATTTGAGACCTCTGAAGTGGTTTTCCTTGCCCTTTTGCCAGTTATGCCAGCATGGTGGCAAAACCAACTTCTTTTCAGTGCTGATGATGAATGAATTGGAGTTTTTGAGGGTCAGCAGCTCCTTACAGGAGGAAGATCCTTTCGTAAGGGAACTTGTGTTTCTTCAAAGCACTCATGGGGAAGGTGACAGGGAATCACATTAAGTATTCTTTTCTCTTGTCATTGTTGCTGATTGAAATTGAAAATGCAAGGCTTTTACGAGCAACTGATGAATTACAAGACTGTAAGGTGAGGAGATACAAGCCAACAATGTGCCCTTTGACAGATTTCCACTGTTAAACCAGTGAGCTACCTCTTTATGTTTCTTGTTTGAGGACACTCAAATTGAACCACAACCATTTAATAAATAATCTCATTTTCTACTTTTCCTGGAAAATGATGAAGACTGAATAATGGTGCAAATAACACCTTACTTGCATAAACCTGACTTCCCCATGTTATTCCAAACAATGTAAAATTTGGACAGCTATTATTCAGGCAAGATGACTTCCATGCCCAGTTGTCTGAAATGTCATATGTACATGATGCAAATTCTACCACATTGCTGTTGGCATCTTAAACATGTTGCACATCTCTCCATGATGTTTCAGTCAGGAAGATCAATAACTCATGGTTTACATCGGTTTACAACAAATTGCCAAAGTTAAATCAATATGGAGTTCTGAAATAAACTGTCCCATAAAGACTGTCATTAGGAACAACTCCGCAAACGAACATTTTTCAGTGACAAACACCTACACTGCTTACCGCTATGACCCATGTTTGCAATCCAATGCTCATGCAGTTCCCTCTTTTCCACTACCACTTGTAAATGAAGCTGGGGTATAGTTATGGCAGATTTTCCACCATCTGTCGATGTTACCTCTGTTACTTTAATCAAGACAGAGGAATGTTCCCTCTGACTTGACCTTTACTTATTTTGTTCCTTAATTGTTGCCTCAGATTATGCAACAACTGCTTCTCTAACCTACAGACACTTCTCCTTCTTTAGCTAATCCCTTCAGGTGTTGTCAGATGTCCCTCGCCTTTAAGAGAATTTGCCTTTAAGAACTGTGTGAATGTAATGTTGTGACTCTTCCTACTATTTAGCCTGTTTTGGGTTTGTGAGCTGCACCTGGAGAAATCAGTCGGATGATCTAATGTCTGCTTTATAACTTGGCGTGTTTTACTGGTTGAAAATAAATTAACCCATGGAAATAAGCAATCTCAGCAAAAAAGCAATTAATTATTAGACCATGAAGATCTTCGTGACATGATGAAGAGCATTGGATGACATTATATTGATTAACATGACAGGTGTTACGTCAGTGATGTACTGCACTACTGCCTGGACGGCATTTGCAGGTTTTGTCTTGCAAATTCCACCACAAGTACGTGATAAATTCTGTCAGGATTACCATATCGCTGAAGGGACCCAGCCACAGGGAAATAGTACGAGCTGAGTTGCCTACCTTCTAATTGTCAAAAACTTCTTTGAGCCCCCAGAGAGATCCAGAGAAGGTTTCCAAAAATAAAAATACAAATTGTCCACTTCAATAATTATATGCAACTCCTAACAGTAGTCAACCTAAAATAAACCAAACAACTGCAGTGGCTGGAAATCTGAATCAAAAACAAGAATTGCTGGAGAAACTCAGCAGATCTGGCAGCATCTATGGAAAGAAAGTAAAGTTAACCTTTCAAGTCCAGTTATGAAGAAGAGTCACTGACCTCAAGACATTAACTCTGCTTTCTCTCCACAGAAGCTGCCTGCCCTGCTGAGTTTCTCCAGCAATTTCTGCTCATGTAGGATTATTAGACTTGTTATCATACTACCCAAATTCCTTTCTGCTTCATTTTTAATTATTTCTACCCAGCCGACAATATAATGTCACAGCACTTTTGTACTGCTTTACTGCACTTGTCACTTTACTGTGATGAATTTCATCTGTCACTGGTTTGTCTGTTTGTATATGTTATCGATTAAGGCCTAAAGCTGTTTTCTGTTTCTGCCACCTTGACACCTCCGTCCCATTCCACCTCAACTCCCATATCCCATAGAGGAAGATCGGAAATTTTGACGGGTTTTCACTTGGCTTATGAACCCAAACATTAATAAGGATTTGGACCAGTAAGGACATTGATCTTTGAAATACTTCACTTAGAAATTCTCTAACTTGCTATTTGTCCTCTCACAAACATCAGTTGCTTTTCTTTTTCCAGTACTTCCCTGCTCATATCTCAACTTCCCATTTCAGTTTTCAGTGGCTGCTTTTCATGAGAAATTTTATCAAAGAGTCATCAGAATGATAACCAGTGAATGTCACATTCTTTTTCCGTGTCCACTTGGAGGTGAATATTTTTTTCTGACAGATTAGCTTCGTCATAGTGATAAGGGTGCAAGGCTGCACTGGGAACCAGTCAAGAAATTCCACATTTCACCCTTTATCATTTGTAGGGAACCACCTGATTTGTGAAGAGCATGACCTTCTAAAGAGCTCACATATGAATGTCATTCATGGTGCCTTATTTGCTTAGTATTTGACTAGCTAAAGCCAATGCAAGCTCTTTTGATACACTTAGGGAAAAAAAGCTGTAACTTTTGGATAATATGAAAGGACGAAAATCTGCATTGCAAGGTCTTTGCCCTTTTTCCTCCACATCATGTCCAAAGGAGAATCAACCCTGCACATTCTACTGTAATCTGACCTGTGAACTGTCTCCATAATGGGATGGTACTGACAATAGCAGTTGAGTGACTTTAGCTCATTCCAAACATCTACAGGAGACATTGCTAATTTTAGTCAATCCACAGGTACCCCAGAAAGATCAATCCAAACCTTCTTCACTTTCCCAACAGAAACCTAAAGAAAAGAGAAAAGATGATATGATTTTTACAATAATGTTTGGGAGCTTCTTGATGACTGCTGTCTACATGAACCTCAAGTTTCTATTCAGTTGGTTCAACATTAGCTGGCAGCACAGGCTCATGTGGGTTTGCACACAATTCCCAGGCAGCAGGCACAGTTCCACCATTTCAAAGGAACCTACTGTGCCTGCTTGTTTGAAAGAGAAAACAGACTGGAAATTAAGCAAAGTTTGATATCTTTTAGCTTGGGTTCTTGGTATCATTGTGACAGGCAGGAACAGCAACTAATCAAAAGGACACCAAAATGAATCAGCCTCCAAGATTGGTATGGCATTTTCTGAAGGCATCTTTCTTCAGGTCTGCAGACTCTTGGACAGATTAAAGTTTGTATCACAATGTAGTCGTCTCTGAATCTCCAAGATGCTGGTACTGAGGGATCTAACAATCATTGAAGGACCCTGAGTCCATTTTGAGCAGCTGCTGTACTCCGGTACTGCAATTTTCAGAACTGTGATAAACAAGACTTGTGCTCTCACAATTCCACAGCAGTCCCAATTCTACCCATGGTAGATAACTGTTGACCAAAGGCCACGTGGTTAACAATGGGAAGCAGTTAATTGCCTTGCAAAAAACATCATTTAGCCTTCAGCCACAAAAAATATTGATCAAATGAAAGGTGTAGAGCTGGATGAACACAGCAGGCCAAGCACCATCAGAGGAGCAGGAAGGCTGACGTTTCGGACCTAGACCAGATCTAGACCCGAAACGTCAGCTTTCCTGCTCCTCTGATGCTGCTTGGCCTGCTGTGTTCATCTAGCTCTACACCTTGTTGTCTCAGATTCTCCGGCATCTGCAGTTCCTGCTATCTCTGATCAAATGAAAGACTGAGTAAGTCAATTAACCAACCACTGTCAGATGGGGCAAAGATAATGTAGAATGGCACAAAAAAAAGGACAGGAACAAAAAATACTTCACATTAGATCACTCTGATGAGTTCTTTTTGACATCACAAACAACAGACAAATGCTTGGCGTAAAAACTTGGCTGTTCTGGCTTTAAAGATCCCCTTAAACTTGATTGAATTGAATCCCATTGGTGAACTGTCTGTTAATTGCTGCTTGAGGCAGCAATTCAATTAGAATTAGGTCTTATCAAGACCCACGGAGGACTCCCATCCCACTTTTATGGGTGTTGCCACATAAAATTATGTGCTACATTGTTACAGTAAAAACACCCTGGAGCTGTAATATAATAGATTTTAGTTATCACAACAAGATTACAAGAATTTGTTTCAACACATTTTATTTTAAATTGTGTAAACAAGGCTCAGAATTCTCATTACCTATAAGACAGAAGCCTATTACATAAATTTATTCTGAAAGTATCACCTCAGACAAATGCATGAGGTTACACTCCTGTCAACGTAGACGACATTTAGTTTGCAATAAATAGATAGTGGTTTTGTGCATCACTTTTGCTCTCTTCTGTTTGCAGCAGTTCAGCATTTGAAATTGGGATATTGGACATCTTTGGCTTTGAAGAATTTCAGAGAAATGCTTTTGAACAGGTAGGAGCTGTTATGTTTGGAGTCAATAAAGTATGCACACAGCTCCCAGAGGTACAGCCAATGAATGAACACTCAGCGTTGCATCTGCTGAAAATCTCCAGTTCTAGTACAATGCAAAAAAAAATTGATGTGGAGATGCCTGTGTTGGACGGGAGTGAACGAAGTAAGAAGTCACATGACACTATGTTGTCGTCCAACAGGTTTATTTCAAATCACAAGCTTTTGGAGCTCAGCTCCTTCACCAGGTGAAGTCAGTTCACTGTTGGACTATAACCTGGTGTTGTGTGACTTCTGACTTAATACAAGAAAAGGATTTGAACATGATTGATCCCAGCCAGCAGGCAAAATAACAATCATCTATAGTGTAATCTAGAGTGTTTGCACATAGACAATATAACCATAGAGTTCATTACTATATGTGGTTAAAGGGCTAATTGCTTCAATTAACATTTAGATGGCCAGGAATATGCGTATTTCCTAATGTAATTCCTAGTTGTCAGTCAGACAGCTGTTTTGTGAAATTACATTAATTTCATCCTCGTGACTGGAAGGATTGTCAATTAAATTTTATTGAAAATGTTACATTGTGCTTCATGTAAAGATATAATCAACACAAATGTTTTGCATTAAACTGCAGTGCAGTTCTGAGACAGAATAAAGGGAAGGAGAAAGTTGCAAGGTAAAGGTTGGACAGGGCAAGTAAGAAAGAATAACAGACAAGGATCGATACTGTAGGGAAAGAGAAACAGATTGCACACAAGGGTAAGATATAAACAGTATTACTGTTGGATGAAGTGAGGACTGAAAAATATAGGATGAATTGGATTTTGTGAAGGTTGAAGCGCGTTGAACAACCAAGTCTGCACATCTTTGGACTGTGGGAGGAAACCAGAGCACCCGGAGGAAACCCACACAGACACAGGGAGGACGTGCAAATTCCACACAGATAGTCGCCCAAGGGTGGTACCTAACCTGGGTCCCAGATGCTGTGAGGCAGCAGTGCTAACCACTGAGCTGCCATGCTGCCCCCTGTGGGGAGCAATTGGAATTTGTGTTTTGAGTCCAGTAACCCTTCCTCAGTTTAGAACTTTTCCACATTGGTTGTGATTAAGGAATTGAAACACATGATGGTACAATGACAGCAGTAGGCAGCCTTGATAGTTGAGTGGACATGGTATTAAAACGTGGGTTTGAATAGTACATTAGGTTACATATTGCCATAGTTGATTAAAGGAAGTATCCAGGAAAGTGAAAATAAATGTAGATTTAAACAGAGTGGATGCACAATTCATATGAATAGTACAGGAACTAGCAGCAGTACAAAGGCATCTAGATTTACTGGAGCAGTCTGCGCTACTGGCTATTTCTTTTTAGATCCTGTGGCCTCCTTGGAGGATATGGACGCATGAAATTTGATTCTGTATCTTTGGGTATGCCAGGCTGTTTTTGATGGGTCAGAGAAACAGCTGTCTTAATTATTGTACAAGTCACTAGATGTCATGAGGAGGGTTTTGTGTCACTATTGGATTGGTGGTGTCAGTACTGTGTCTAGTGCCTCGATCAATGTTGGGCTATCATTATATATATTTCTTGCTGCTAAGTTGTTTGCTAAGCTACTTCAGAGGTCAACTAAGAGTTAGGTGTATTGCTGTGGTCTGGAATCACAGTCAGACCAGATCAGATAAGGATGGCAAATTTCCTTCTTTAAAGAGAATCAGAGAACTGGGAGATCTTCTTACGACAAGTAAAGCTTATTCAAGGTTAATTGAATTTAAGTTCTCTAGTTAGCATGAACAGGACTCATCATAGCCCTAATGATAGGAATCCTATATCTGAGCAAAACATTTGCTTATCTTCAGCTCTTATCTGTTATTGTGATGGTTCAATCAATAAATTGTTGAACATGTTTTGAACGTATTTATAGAAGACACAGAAAGTCAGGATTAATAGAAAATCAAGTGGCAAAAGAAAGAGAGAAACTTAAAATAATCATAACTATGAGAACAAAAGTGACCAGAGAAATTAATTGCACTCAAGTCTGTTAAATCCTCCTAATTTGATGGCCTTCATTGTAGCATCTTAAAGGAAGTGACTACAGAGACTTTGTAATCTTCCCAAATTCTCTGGATTCTGGCAGAGTTTCAGCAGAGTGAAAAATCACAAAAATAACCCTACTAATCAAGAAAGGATGGAGACAAAAAGCTGAAAAATACAGCCCATCTAATCTAACATCTGTCACAGTGAACATGCCTGAATCCATTATTGAGGGAGCAGCGGCAGGACATTTAGAAAATTATAGTACAATCAGGTGGAGTCAATGTGTTTTTATGAAAAGGAAATTATATTTGACTAACCTACTGGAGTACTTTGAGGATGTAACGTGTAATGTGGATAAATGGGAACATGTTTCCTTTATTCTTTCATGGGATAAGGGAATTGGTGGAAAGACTATCATTTGTCGCCTGTCCCTATTAGCCCATGAACTAAGAGTCTTGCTAGGCCATTTCAGAAGGCAGCTAAGGGTAAACCATATTGCTGTGGGTCTGGAGTCACGTGTAGGCTCAACCAGTTAAGGATGGTAGATTTCCATCCCTAGAGAACATTAGTGAACCAAATAGTTTTTTTTTAATTCCAGACGTAGCAATTGAATTCAAATTCCAGCAGTAGCATGATGAACTTTGATCCAGTATTTTCTTTCCAGGACATGAATCTAAGCCTTCAGCTTACTAGTCCAGTGAAGTCACCATTATGCCACTGTCTTTAGATTTTGAATAAGCATCTGATAAGTTGGCATATAAATCATTACATTATAAATGAAGACCTCAAGTTATTAGAGATGATAGGTTGGCATATATCAGGGGTGGTTTTAGTTCAGTTGGCTCGATAGCTGATGCAGAATAATGTCCCCATCATGGGTTAAAATCCTGCACCGGCTAAAGTCAACATGGAGCTCCCACCTTCTCAAACTCTCCCTTCACCGGAAGATTAGTTGCTCTCTAGTGAGAGAGCAACTGATTGCCTGGTAGGACTATGATGATTTTCCCTTTGCCTTTATTAGCATTTATAGAGGGTTGTTTAACTATCAGACAACAGAGGGTCAGGATGAATGGGCCATTTCTGGTTTGGCAGACTGTAACAAGTGGGGTGCCAAAATTGGTCCTTGACCCTCAACTGTTTACGCTTTGTATTAATGGTTCAGGTGATGGGATAAAGAGGCTGTATTGTAGTCAAATTTGCTGATGATACATAGATGGGAAAACAAGTTGTGTGGAGGCCACCATGAGCCTGCAAAGAAATATAGATATGTTAAGTGAGTGCACAAAAATGTGAAAGATGGCAAATAATGGAGGAAAATGTGATCTTGTCTACTTTAGCAGGAAGAATATAAAAGCAGGAATATTATTTAAAGGTAACGGAGCTGTAGAATGCTGCAGTACTGAGAAATCTGTGTCCTAGTACATGAATCACAAGAGACTATCATAGTTAGAGAAAGTAATCTAGGAAGGCAACTGGAATTTGCAATGGAACTCCATTATAAAAGCCTTGTTACAGCAGTACAGCGCATTAGTGAGACAGAAGCTAGAGTAGTTTAAGTACCCATTTTAAATTGCCCCATTTTACATTGATTTGCTTTAATATTGTTGACATAATGAGACCTGTATTTCTGTTTAGCCTTGCAAAATTAATGTTAACATCATTTCCCACTGGTTTTAAGTAAGACTGAGAGAGTTAGGCACAGAAATAGTCTATTCAATCCAACCCCACCTCCCCGACGGAGCCTGATCTGCCATTCACATCATTTTCCTGCCTCTTCCCCCTTACCCTTGATTGCTCTACTAATCGTGAATCTAGCTCAGCCTTAAATAGACACAAGGACTCTGACCCCACAGCTCTCTGCAGCGAGGAATTCCAAAGACTCACAACCCTCGGAGGAAAAGGTCCTCCTTATTTCAGTCATAAATTAGTGGTCCTTTATTCTGAGGCTATGCCCTATAGTCCTAGACTCACCCATGAGAGAAAACATTCTCTCAGCATTTACCCTATCAAGTCCCTTAAGAATCCTATATGTTTCAATGAGATCACCTCTCCTTCTTCTAAACTCCAGCGAGTGTAGCCTCAACCTGTTTATCATTTGCTCATAAGACAATCCCTCCAGACCAGCGATCATCCTAGTCAGCTTATGTAGGGCCGCAAGACCTGATTGCTGGTGATTTGGCGATCATCAGGGCCACAAGACCCAACTGTTGGTGATTTGGTGATCATCTTTGATTGCCCAGCTAATCCTCTCTCAGATGACACTCCAAGCCGGCAGCCTCGCCTGCTTCCTAACCCACCTTGTTGCTGGGCTAATGACCTCATCCATTCCCTCACACACTTTCTCAATGCCAGCCCTCTGAGCTTTTTGTTCTCACTAAGCCTCCCACCCCTCAAAAAGCTGGCACACCGCGCCCCCTCTCTTGAATGCTCACAAAGCGAGAGATTCTGAACGTGAACAGCATGAGGTATGTGCAGCAGCTTCGACCTGTGGGAAATAAATGTTTCTGATCAGAAATCTCTGATCCTGACAATGAGGCAATTTACTCAAAGGATTGAATATGTTTGGGATCTGGGCCAGGACAAAACATAGTAAAACCAGTGAGGCAGTGGTCGTGTTTGCTCCCCTCTCCCTGTTCTAAGGACATGGAGCTACTCCAGGCAACTTCACACCTAGAATGGGAGATTTCTGTAATTAAGTACAGAATAGGTTGTGGAAAGATAGTTGAATGGTTAGCATTTGGACCAGAATACAGTTGAATGAGCAAATACGAAAGAAGAGGAGGCTATTAATGACTGGAAGAGGTATGAGGGGCACAAGACAACAGATTGCTGTTGGAAGGGGTGGGGACTGAGGTGAGGAAAAAGATTGAGGCCATTGATTGGATTGCCTCTATTTTTGAAATGAAGGAACTCATAAGCTACTTAGCTTTGCTTATAGCGGTGAAATGCGAAAGGAGAGTTGAAAGAGATGGCTGCTGTTAGAGAAGAGTTTAGTTAGTTCTAATTCTCTCTGAGCAATTGGAGGATTTGACCACCAGGGAAACTAATGGACTTTTCAAATGTTACCAAAATGTTTGGTGTTGTTGCTTACTGACTTTGACTCTATCTGTACCTGTGTCAGTCTGTAAGCCTGAGCAAGGAGGTTAGCATTCAGTTCTGGATCAGTCACAAAGAGTAACCAGACTTGGTTCCCCCTTGATGATTCAACTTGCAATAGCTGATTCACTGATAGTACAATAAGGGTGATTTCCAAAGCTGATGCAGCATTTGCAGGCAGTATTTCACAAGGAAGCTGGGCTCCACTGGGTTGCAATTTCACTAACAGAAATGCATCTGGTCAACCATGAAATTTCCAATCCAAATTTTCATCACTCAAGTTCATCATAGCCCCTGCGAGTTACAGTGAGCAAGATTTCATTTGGGCTATTAGAATGAGTGAAATAAAATAAGCTGTTGCCTTTGATTATAGGAAAGAAAATATTAAGATTGTTTCCCTAACTGTTGATAAATCCTCATATCCTTTGAAATTCAGTTTTTCAGAAATAATAACCTTTTACTGTATTGAGTAACTTACATCCTTCTATCAGTGATGAAAATGTTCTGCAATCCTTCTAGGATTACACACCACGAGGTTTAGTTGTGTAACGTTTTTAGTATTCAATTTGTTGTTGTATTTTTACTTGAGAAATATGACTAGCTATTTTTGACAATGGTGTTAACTGTCTCCGAATTCATTCAACATTAGTCACCAGAACTTTGCTTAAGAATTTGCCCTTCTTATTATTCATCGAAGTTTATCAAATATTTAAAGGTATTTTGAGCATTGAGATGTGTCAACTTTAATTGGCAAACAGCAGGATTACTGTTGGGTTCTTAGATCAGTAACGTTAAATTATTATTGACTGGTAGACCTTTTGTTGGAGATTTTTAGACACCAGCAAAAGTGATTAAATAAGGGAAAACTGCAACATTATATAATTGTCTCAATTAACAAATATTTTTAAACGGTACGTTGTGACAAATCAATTCTTTACCTAGATTGTCCCATGCTGGTATCAAAAGAGGACTAAGCATTGAAGAAATCAGGCCAGGTTATAGCCAAATTCATGATATTCTCACTCTCAGCAAGCTCTTTGTACCAGGAACATAAAATCATGTCATGAAAATTAGAAATGTACACATTTTAAAAAGCTTGAGAAATAGTTCATATTTGGGAATAGTGATCGGTAAATATCAGCAGTAATTTACCGCTATTGCTACAAACATTAATCTGCACTAGAAAAAAAAATGAAATGAGTGCTTTTATCCCTCAGCTTTGTACCAACATGACGAATGAGAAGATCCATCAGTATATACACGAGACACTCTTTCAACAGCACCAGATGGAATATATGCAAGGAGGTGTCGCCATGGAAACAGTGAACTCTCCTGGCAACCACAACTCTGTTCTGGACTTCTTTTTTCAGGTACACTTTTAATACTTGCGTTGAGATGGTGAATTTGCTCTTTGCAAATGATCCTGACTGAGGCTAATTAGATTTAGCAAAGTAGTAAATGAAACAATGTTTGCTCACGATATCTATTCTGTGTCAAAGCTGCCTTTGGTACACATTTGAGTCATATACCATTTCTTGTTGAATTGTGCAGAACATTTGTCCCATCTTGAAATTGGTTCCCAAATGTAATTGTCTGAAAATGTCACAAATTAAACTGAAGCCAAATTTGGTGGCTTGGCTCTTCAAGCGTGTGGATAAATAAAGATTGCAGCCTTTAATTTTCTTGTCTGGATTGACACCCAATCCTCTCTTAATTCTAGTATGTGTCAATATCTAACATTTTAAAGAAACCTAATGGAAAAGTATTGTCAGAATCTATTTTTCAGACGACTGGTTTCAAAAAGGGACAGGTTGTCTTTTGCAAATTCATCCTTCTTAGCTCATTACAAATGCCTGTGTGAATAGAGCATTAAATCTTACAGACAAAACGTACTGAAGGCTGCTGGGCTTCAACATCCAGGTGCAATGTTTATAAGTCACCTGGATAGCGCTTTACTCTCTACAATATAGGAGCATCACTCAACCTTTGCTCTTCATCCCCACTCATCCCTGGAGATGTTGAAGGCCAGACAGAAAATGTCTCCAGGCTTCAGCGGCACCTCCTCAGATGTCTTTCTGCAGGCTGTCTGAGAGAGAAAGGATGTTATGCTTCTGAAAAATCATGACAGGATGCCATCCTGACTGACAAAGACAACCTGGAAGGAGGTGGCAATGGAGTTCAGTGTCTGTGGGTGGCTCAAGAGAATCTGACTCCAAGATTGCAAGAGGAATATTAATCTATTGCACTCCACCAGCATTAGTGTCACTCTCCACAGAGTGTGAGTTTGCTTGGAATGTGAGTTAGTTTTATAATGTTGCCAGTGCAGAGGATTGTCACATACAAATTTGGATGGGAGGCACCTCCATCAGATGCCTCACGTTCGTTGTATATGTCTTAATTAACAAGTGCTATCAATGCTACGTTAATGAACTACTGTGCAACTGGCTTTAACTCACCTGCTGAGGTTCACAGTAAAAACATAAAAGGAGCTACAACACTCAGGAGCCCTGATACCATCAGGTCACTGACTTTTCATCTCAACTGGGAGAACCTAGTTCTGAAACATTTTCACCAAAAGGTTAGATGCTATGCCCCAGAGATGTTCTATTCACACATGTATTTGTAATAAGATAAGAAGAATGAATTTGCAAGAGATAAAGGAATAGAAAAGATTGTTTCCACTGGTGGTTGAAACAAGCACTGGGCGCATAGCCTCAAAATAAAGGGTAGCAGATTCAAGACTGAGTTGGAGGAACCTTTTCTCCCAAAGGGTTGTGAATTGTGAAATTTCCTGCCCAGTGAAGCAGATGAGGCTACCACGTTGAATATTTTTAAGGCAAAGATAAGTAGATTTTTAAACAGTAAAGGAATTAAGGGTCGTGGTGAGCGCGTGGGTAGATGGAGCTGAGTCCATGAAAGGATCAGCCATGATCGTAGTGAATGGTGAGGCAGGCTTGATGGGCCAAATGGCCTAGTCCTGCTCCTAGTTCTTATGTTCTTATGGATAGAACAAGGACATAACCATAGAAGGTGGCTTTGGCTCAAACACCTCCGAAATATCTTAGTCACACACAACATCAAATGTTTTATTGTCTTTTACACTCTAATACTTGGATGAAACAGAAATACAGTTCATTCGGAACACATTAAATCTGTGGTTACCCCAAACCTCATTCTTCTTACTGGTGCAGGGAGCCTGCATCTAGTAACTCCTTTTAGTGCCACTTTGCTTTAACATCATTAAGAAATTAAGATTAGAAATTTCATTGAGCGTCATAAGATTTGTCTACATGTTATTTACTGCAGTATTGTATATTACATGACAGGCACCATTTCTCAGACCTTAACAGCAAAAAGTCTTGGAGCGAAAGTGGGCCATTCTGCCCATCAAATTTGCTCTGCCATTCAATGAGATCATGTCTGATCTGATTATCTTCAACTCCACTTTCCTGCCTTTACCCCATAACCCTTGATTCCCTTGCTGATTAAAAATCTCAGCCTTGAATATACTTAACGACCCAGCCTCAACAGACCTCTGCGGTAAAGAACTCCACAGATTCACTGCTCTGAGAGAAGGAATTCCTTCTCATTTCTGTCTTAAACATATGACACTTATTCTGAGATTACACTCACTGGTCCTAGACCCTCCCACAGGGCATATAACCATTCTGCATTGACCCTGTCAAGTCCAAGAATCTTGAAAGTTTCAATAAGGTTGTTTCTCATTCTTCTATATTCCAATGGGCACAGGCCCAATCTACTCAGCCTGTCCTCATAAGACAGTCCCTCCATACCTGGTATAAGCCTAGTGAAATATCCCTGGATTGCTTTCAATGCCTGTAAATCTTGCCTTAGATAAATAGCCCCAAGCTACTCACAGTTTTCCAATTGTTGTCTGATTATTGCCTTGCATGGTTTTAGCAAAAGCTGCCTACTTTTATACTCCATTCCCTTTGAAAGGAAGACCAATATTCCATTCGACTCCTCAATTACCCGTTGAACTTAAATGCCAACTCTTTGTGATTCATGGTTGAGGACTTTCAAAACCTTCGGTAGCCTTCTGCAGTCTTTCTCCATTTAAATAATGCTCCTCTATTCTTCCTGCCAAAATATTTAACCACACATTTTCCCACATTATATTCCATCTGCCAGTTTTATTGCCACTCATGTGACACGTCTGCATCCCTCTGCAGGCTCTTTGAGTCATCATCACCACTTGCCTTCCCACCTATGTTTGTCTTATCTGCAAGCTTGATGATAGCACTATCACTTTCCTCATCCTAGTCATTAGTATACATTGTAAATAATTCTGTTCCTAGCACTGTTTCCTGTGGAACATTACTACTTATAGTTCATCATCTTGAAAATGTGCCACTTATCCCAACTCCCTTCTATTAGTTAGCCAATCCTCTATCCATGCTAAGATACAGCCTCCAACACGGAAAGCTGCTCCTTACCTTCTGACTTGTAGCCATTCCCTGTGCTGTACCCTTCCTGAGATCTTCACTAGGCAACCCTCACTCACTGTGCTCCAGGGCAGCCAAAACCCAACAGCATCTCTTGGAGAGGCTACACATGCCCCCTCAGCCCTCAAGGCTCACCAAGACATATCAGAGCTCCTCCTTCTGGCTCAAAGGGTGCCAGCCAATTCCGACAGAGTGTCCCCATGCACTTCTCCTCCTCCCCAACCACGCACCCCCCCCCCTCACCCATCCTCTTCCTCCTTAATGGTCCATTGGCCCACAGTAAAAGGCACTACAGCAAGTCTGTTGGAACAGCCCCCTGAGCAGTAGCCCATACAGATCCAGGAGGTAGCAGTAGCTAGCAAGAAAGGGCGTTGCAAACAACCAAAAAGACACCACCAGGTACCATCATATGGCCAGGAACAAGTAAGGGCACCAGTTGCTGGCCCAGGGTCGAATAAGCAAAGGCTTCCCTGGTGCATTCTGGGGAATATATCCAGCTCTCTTTATAACCATTTTTATGGAATCCACAGCCACCTCTCTCCCAGGTAGTGCACTCCAAATCCTAGCAAGTCTCTGAATAAAGAAGTTTCTCCTCATCTCACTCCTAGCTGTCTTGCCGACAATTTTGAAATTATAATTCCTAATTACTGGCATACCAACTTGTGGAAACAGAATATCTTCCGTACTCTTCAAAATTGTTCATAATTTGCATGTTTCAATTAGGTTACCTCTTAATCTTCTCTGCTTTACGGAGAATAAGCACAATTTCTCTAATACGTGTTTGTATCTAAAATCCATCATTTCTGGTATCATTCTAGTATATATGTATCTCAATGTGTATCTCTGAATGCAGGGATAGTGCTCATGTCCCCTGCTGGCAGACTGTGCACAATAAGTGTGAATGTAACCAGGGCTTATGCCCAACATTAGGGTTTTGACCCCTTTGGTGAGCTGGTGGAGCTGGCAGGAGGTCATAGAGACCACAGCTGTATGGAGTAGGATATTGACTTGTGTATGCCAATCGAGTCAGATAGCCTCCATCTGCTACTCCCAGTTGCACATGATTCAACATCTATGTGGTGGCTCAGAACATAAAACAAATCATTATATTCTTCTTTGTAGCCAAATGATCCCACACCTGAACTAGTGCAAGAATATGAAAATTTTTCTTGTAACAAAATTATCCCCCTAGACCCATCTTTGACAGCACCTCTGAGGAGGAAGACTTGGACCCCATGGAAATGCACCATCAAAGCATGCCTCCCACTCTGCATCAGTCCAGAGGTAATTTTTGTGGGTGATATTTTCTCAAAAGTATACTTGGGTTCAAATGCTATTGAACACAGTACTGACACAGTCCAGCACTTAGGAATTTGTAGCAGTTCTTTCTGATACTGTGAATTATGCAAAAGAACAGGCAGCTGCTGTATCAGTTATTGACGATGAACATCTGGACTTGGCCACTAATGAACTGGCGGAGATACAGCCAAGCAAGGGGATGGCTGGCGCGGCCATGTATAGACTACACCAAAGGGCTGAGATATTTGCCCATATTCTGTCTTGTGTTGGGTCTCCAATGCATGTCTGCCTGCGTGGAATGGGTGGTAGCTATCATGAGGGCCAGGTTGAGCAGAACACTCTGTTGCAGGATATGCAGGATCTTCATGCCTTTGCTCAAGTTACAACTGCATTAATTCATTGGCCAGGCAAGAGATGGTCAATGGAGCTTGACCTTCAACCATATGCTCCATTTTCTCCAGAGGTGAGAGAGGTGCTACTACACACTGACATTGAGCAGGAGAAACCACTAGCCATCCAGGGAATGTCACTTGGTAGATTCCAGACGTGCCCTACCTCTCTCCGTTACACCTTCCAAGCACCCAGTTGCCCCCACTTTGCTATTA